ATGTGTCAACTACAATAAAACTTAGTTGAGACTGACAGAATAGAATTGAGCATTGTTTCTACTAAAAGATATCAGCAATGACTGCCTCATATAGAAGAGACTGTCAGAGAAATCTCCTGTGTTGTTTAGTTAGTTGATTATTTGTTTTGCTTTTTCTTTTTTCTTTTGCTTTGCTTTGGGATTAATTACCTTTTCTTCCTTGGCACATTTTTTTCTTTATAAAAGTGTGTAATGTGAGATAGGGACGTAGCTCAGTTTACCCCTTCTGCGTAAGTGTGAGGACATATAAATCTGTAGAACCTATGTAAGAAGAGCTGTGTTGTGCCCATGCATGCAATCCCATAGTGTAGACAGACAGATATCAAGAAGCTCCAAGGCCAACTAGTCTGGCATACATGGTGAAGTTCCAACCAATGAGAATCTTTGCCTGAAACAAAAGGTAGAATGCATTTGAAGACAGACACGCTACTTTGCCCTTTGACCTCTACACACATGCTGCACACATGTGCATACCCACATGCACATACAATGTGTCCAGATTACATGGTAACAGCTGTGAGCATGGTAGCCTGAATTCCTGGATACACGACTAGCTTACCAAGTACCCGGAGATTACTTTCTTTCCACTGGGCTTTTGTAAGTACAACTTGCAGGCTCTCAAGCTGATGACATTTTTTAATCTTTTTAGGATGACATGATTTGCCTCTGATTCTCTCTGTATTATTTATCTGTGTAGGGTTTTATCTTCCAAAGTTTTAGATTATAAATAAATCCTCCCATAGATTAAAAATGATTGGAAAGAGCACTATTTAAATGCAAGCTTACCCTTTTCTTAATCATTTGAACCATTTGGAAGAGCATCTATGAACACTTTTCAACATTTATACCATTAGCTAGGTGTTTAGAAGTTGCTACCTAATATCCTAGGCTCTGAAACAGACAGAGCTTGATCTGCTTGCCTGATGATTGATAGTTTTCTCCTACTAAGCCTCTAGCTCATCTGCATGACTAGAATACCTACCTGTTCTGGTACTTTCTATCTTTCTTCCCTGAAAGCATCTTTCTCATATTTTTACATTGTGCCTTGTCTCTACTGATGTGTGCTGGATCAAGCCGAGGGATGGGTGATTTTGTATGGGTTGGTTAGATTTCCTAATATTCACCTTGACTTAAAGACATCTCTTACCATCTTGCAAATATATGGTTCCTTGAAACAGAACCTTTCAGAAAGAATATACATGCTGACAAGGGATCCACTGAGATACCTTAGAGGTTCTTGATATGGAAAAGGCAAGATTCTTTCCATCAAGAAAAGAGGCAGAGATAAGGAGAGTAATGGAATGAGCTCTGGAGACCAAGAGGGGAAATTGGACTAATATCCAGCTATAGCTGCCAATCCTCATCAGAAACATGGGTAACAAAAACCTGCCGTAGAAAGTCAGGGGTTTAGGAAGCAGGAGCTCCAGACACAGAGAGAAAATGCCAAGTACTTGAGCTTCTTATGAGTCAGTTTAGTATTCCAGGCCACGTTACCCATTCATTTGACATCAACCCACCTGTCTACCCATTTATTAATCCACCCACTCATCCACTCACAACTTACCCACTCATCATCCACTCATCTCCTCATCTAACCACCTACCTGTCCATTTATCCATTCACCCTGCTGCTTGTCCACGTATCTATCCATCACACACTCATTTATCATTCACACATTCACAATGCACCCACCTACCCATTCATCCTTTTACCCTTTTAGCCCATCTGCTCATTTGTCCATCTACTTTTCTATTCATCTACCCACCCATCCAACTAACTCTTATAAGCAGACAAACCCAGTGTATTTGAGTCCCTACCACTTACCCATTGTCAGAGAGGAGAGTGTTTCCTTTCTGTTTCTTCTTCTAAGTCCAGGCCAGCAGTGTAGAACAGAGACAGAACCACAAGTGTATAAAGCACCCCACTCTGTCTACCCCACCCCTTCCCTATAGTCATTTCCTCTCAAAACCAACTGAAGTCTTGCTGTGTTGGGCACACTTGGAGGAAAGCCTTAATCTTTATAGTCTAATAAGGCATCATGAATCTGTCTCCTTGAATGATTTGGGATCCTCTTTGCACCTTCTATGACCCAAAGCAAATTCTGTGCAAAAGCTCCTAGTATTAGTTTCTGCATGTATGCTCCCTAGTTTGAGATTTATTTGAAACATAGGATTACAGTGCCTAATAGGTCATCCTACCCAAAATAGCCATTGCTCATGTTTCCTTTTGCCTAGTTAGCTAATTGGTTTATTTCTGGAAAACTTGGGGCATAGCAGTCTTTTCATGCCATCTCTGTGAACTTTTGGGTATTATTTACACATGCCCCCCCAATGGGTCTGTGCAAGTCACACTACCCTGATGCACTGCACCCATGCTCCATTTTATCTTGTTTACAGCATTGATTCTAGTGTTTATTTGATCATTCCCCTAGTTTTCCTCATGCAACTTGTATTGTATGTTATTTGGAGTTTTGTCCTGGCTTTTTAAAAAATTTATGGGAAATCTAAATTATAAAATCTATCTTTCAACACTGCTCTTTCTAAGCTGACAGTTCATTAAAAAAGTTTTTGTTCAGCCTTCATATTGTTTCAGCCTGACATGGTTTCTTTTTCTTTAAAGGGGGGGGGGCATTTTGAGAAATATCTTTATTTAACTAGCTGAAACTGTTCCAGAGCTTAATTAGAAGTAGCATATTGCAACTGTTTTGGCTGTTATCTAGAGGCAAAATAATTACCCTGTAATAATAATCCATGTTGTGCTAAACCCATCGTTATTGTCATCAAGGGCTGGGGACATCAGCTTCCAGCTCTTAAGGGTAGTATGGTACTCTGGGGAATGTTCATGAAAGCTGAAGGAAAAAAAAAAAATAGGAAAGTTACTGTAGCTATATAAGCTTGGAGTTCTTGAACTTGATGTAAATCCATTCCTGTGAGAACAGGAAATTGTGTTCCATTGAGGCCTGAGGCAGGGCCTATGGTTTCTGTTACTGTGGCATGTGGCCATATCTGGACACTAAGGTCAAGACTCGGGTATATAAGGAGATTGTCTTCTTTTAACCTGTGCAGAACTCCTGAGGGCTGAGCTTGGCATGACAGGTACCAACCCAAGACTAAAGGTTACCCAGCATCACCATGCTTCTTACATACAACAGGATGTCCAAACACCATGCATTCAGCTTTAATGTAATAACTAAGTCAGTTACAGAATTCATCACCACGAGCTATATCTCAAACATAAATGGGAGTCCTAGATTTGCATTGTCCTGGCCAATGGATGCTGCTGCCTAGTCTGGGCTCTTGGTTAATGGTCAAGGCAATGATCCACCCCTTCTTCCAATCTGGTTATGTCTTCATGTCTCCAGGGAAGAATACAGATAATTATCTGTTTCTTTAGTAGCTGAGATAGCAGGCTTCACCATGGGCCATACGGCAGGCCTGTGTGGGTCCTCCATCCTGCTGTTTGGGTATCTGAGGGAATGATGCCTACATCTCCTGACTCACAGAGCTGCATTCAAGAGAGTGAGAAAGTGCAGAAGAGTGACAGGAAATACTATTTAAAAAAGGGGGGCACTGTCTGAGGCTGTTTGAAGCTGTGGGTGGAGTGTCCTTTCCTTCCTCCCCCTTACTCCTAAGACCAGTAGCCTTTAGTGACCTCTGTGGTGGCAGGACTTAGGGAGCTCCTGCAAGCATTCTTAGTTAAAGAGATACCGCTGTCAGAGAATGGGGATTTCAAGTAACCCAGATTTCCCTCACATTTTAGCTGCTTCCTGCTGTCTAAACAAGGAGAGGTAATTAAGTTTATTAACTGTGACCTAATGCTAATTCCTCTTGCATCCTTGCTTTGTGCAAAGGGAGAATGCCATTTACAAGGAAGTAGCCGGACTGAGTTTTTCTGTTGCCAGCGCTCTCCAGGATTATAAAACAAGTCTACCGAGTGAACAAGCTGGGGAAAGACAGTACTCCAGAGTCCTTCCTGACAGCCCGAACTGCACACTTTATCATAGAAAAGTAGAAGTCAAGGTGTTGAGGAATGTGCTGGAAACTGGACATTGTTGGGGCTGGGGAGATAGCTCAGTGGGGCCTTGCTGTACAAGTATCTACCCCTGGGTTCAAATCTTCCTCACCTATGTAAAATGCTAGGTATGGGTATGTACACTGGTTACTCTGGCACTAGGTGGGTGGAGGCTAAAGGAGGATCCATAGGGCATTGCCAGCCACCATCCTAGGTTCAGGTTCAAAGACTTCTGCCCTGTCTGAAGAGAATGATAGATCGAGATATTCAATGCCTTCACTTGGCTTCCCAGTGTCCACACCACACATGTGGATAGTTGGATGGATGGATGGATGGATGGATGGATGGATGGATGGATGGATGGATGGATGGATGGAAGATAGATTCTGAGAATAAAAGAATCACATGTCTCTAAAATTCTTGCGAGGTAACTTTCTTACCTAAGATAGCCTTTTCAATTTTCTTTTCTTAAGAGAACAATGATTGAAATTAGATAAAAGGCAGACAGTACTGATAATGGCTTGTCCCTCCCAGTACAGTAACATTGTACAATACCATGCTAAGCCTAGTAGCTTCACATGAAGAACAATTTCAAACCCAAGGCCAAGGAACTAAGGGATTTGATTATGAAGCAGTAAGACATTGTAACTCAGGGAAGGATTTTATTTCCACCTTTTCCTTCTTTTCTGAAAAGTAGGGTATTTTTGTGATATGTTTTAAATGTTCCTTTAGGAGGCTGTTATTTTGGTCCCGTTTCTTTTCTTGATTAATTTGGAGAACATCTGCATATAATTCTGAGAATTTTTCACTGGCAAAGCCTCCCAACTTCACACAGGACTTAGAGACTTCACATTCTCCACAGTCTGGAATCCTATCTAATTGAAATGCCAAACCTACAAAGGTGCCAAAGCCTAAGTGTGTAATTATGCCATTTTCTCTTGATCTTTCAGAGTCTTCCTGCGTGCAATTAATCAGTATGCAGATATGCTGAACAAGAAATTTCTGGATCAAGCCAACTTTGAGCTGCAGGTAAAAGGAGGCCGACAGCACCTTTGTGGGAGGATCATGTTAAAACAAAGGGCTGGTCAGTCCCAGTCATTTATACCTCTAATCCCTGGATCCTAATTGGCCTCTCATCAGAGGTGTGGAAATAAATGGAACCCGAGGAGAGAAAATTATGTTCCCATTGTATTTGTTCTGTTTAGCAAGTTAGGAAATAGAGTTGTTGCCAAGAGAAAGTACTTCTGGCAGGAGGCAGGCAGGTCACTGAGTGCCACTATGCCTGGCTGCCAGCCTCATCTCAGATCATCGTAAGACAGAATGAAGGGTTCAGTGGAGGAGAATCGGTGTGCTTCACTGAGCTAATTGCTTCTGAAACTCTCTACCCCTCATAGTCTCTGGCTTTGTGCCACCTGTAGTGTCCATAGTGAGTCCTCCGGGTTCAAATACCTCTTCTGCATATGTCCTACCTAAGTATGTGCGGAGGGTGCTGGGGTGGGTACCCTTGTGCATGCTAACCAGGCCCTCTACCAACTAAGCCACATGCCCAGCCATAGCAACATTACTTATTTTTTTTTTCCTTTTTACCTTTTATTGTTTTTCTCTGCTTGATGCTTGTTTTCATATGTTATAAACAAAGATTCACATGAGGTAAATGAGTTGTTAGGAAATACTTCCTATCCTCTTTGCACCTCGCATTCCCTCTCTGCTGGAGTAACTTGTAGCTAACCGCTCTGCACTCTTCCTGACACCAGATGCATTTGTGTGGGCCAATGCTTGATTTCATCTTGCTATTAACATGAGCTGGTTCATGCGGAGTGTTTACAGTAGTATCACACCCCACGGCATGAATGTGCCTGCACTTACCCACTTGCCCTTGCAAAATGGCTTTTGCTTCTCACTGTCCTGAGCCAACCTTCCATGAGCTTCCGCAGATTTCAGTGCTTGTAACCCTTCAAAAGGCTGGTTGCTGGCAAAACAGGATGAACGTTTAAGCTTGATGGACAGTGTTGGAATGCCCTCCTAAAAAGGTTTTAGCAGTAGCACCCTCACCAGCCATGTGACGTGTGTGTGTGTGTGTGTGTGTGTGTGTGTGTGTGTGTGTGTGTGTGTGCATTTTTAAAACTTTTAATTTTCTTCTTCAAAAATTCCATGCATGTCTCTCTCCAATCCCAGCTTCTTCTAGCTCCCTCCCACCACTGTCAACCTCCCTTCCACACTACAAGTGTCTTTCTCACATTTCTGTCTTTGTGTTTTGTCTTGTGTTCCACTGAGCTAACCAGGACAGCCTCACAAGCAACCCCTTGCAGCCTTTCTTTAGAATTTTGGATTCTTGTTTACATGAATTTTTCTGGTTGCTATATTTTCATGACCAGTTATGCTGAGCATATTTACCAGCTGTGAGGCTTTTTTGCTGTGACCTCTCTGGCCATTTCTTTTGCTTGTGTTGACTGTTAATGTTTGCAATAAGTTGGGACTCTTGATGTAGCCTATTCATGGGTTTAAGTTTATTATATAAACTTATTGAACGTTCCTGTAGTCAAATCCTGACATTTCTCTTGTGATTATGTGGTCTTATGTTTAGTGTAGTAAATCCTTAATTGCCTTAGTGTTGTAGATTGAGTTATCTGCAATGAAGTTGATATCAGCAATTACCTTTTTTCCCCCTGGCTCTTTTTATGCATTTCTTTTTGCACTTGTAGTTTAAAATCAGCTAGTTGAGCTCTTCTGAAAATCAAGTTGCTTGGATGTTAAGTGGAATTGCTGGACTTGTGAACTGAGAAAAGTTACAACATTTGAGGGTGGTGGGTTTTTTTTGTTTTTTGTTTGTTTGTTTGTTTGTTTCCTGTCTTTCTCCCATCTTGTGCTGGACTTCTTGATCTAGCTTTTATTAAACTTGGAGTGCTCTGAGGTTAGGGACATCTGCTCGGCTTTAATCCCACTGGAGCTGTGAGCATCGTGGGATGGGTGGCGGGTGCATCCTGGGTTCTTCTGTGGTGGTCAGCAGCATTGTGGGCAATGCCATTTCTTAGGAAGAGCCAAATGAAGGGATCACACAGTCTTAAGTCCTAGGGATGCTCTTGAATCCCTACCTTTCACAGGTCATTAAACTCAGAGTTAGTAATGAGAATGTCTTATCTTTATGTGACTCTTTGTAGCTATCACATTTGAATATTATCCCTGGTTTGTAAATGAGAAAAACTGGCATCAAAAAATGTCTTTCAGAGATCATCCTGCAAATCACATACAGTCCATAAATTCTTGAAATGGAGGCTTCATCTTTTTCCATGTTTTCCCTAATTGTCTGGTGTATGCATAATTTTTGTATAATAAAAAGTCGTAAATCATGCAAGTGTATGCTGTTCTTCAGAGAGGAGCTCCATCACATGCTAACACCATGCAGTACTCAACTCCGTGTTCAACACCACCACATATGTAGCTACCACTTCTGCAGGTCATAATCCCTGTGCCTACCCAGGTAGATGCTACTGACAACCTCGTGTTACTGGTGAAGAAACTGAGGCACAGGCAGAGGTTAGAGGAGTTGCACTGGTGAATTCAGCTTCACACTCAGTCATGAATTATACACTCTGAGGGCTGGCTTGAAGTGCTATATGTTGTTAAGGATTTCAGGATGATAATTGCCCAGAGCCTTTCTGATATGTATTGTTAAGCTATTCCACAACTTGGCATCTCCTGTCTTTGGTTTTCAGCTGTGGAACAACTATTTTCACCTGGCTGTGGCTTTCCTCACTCAAGAGTCCTTGCAGCTGGAGAATTTTTCAAGCGCTAAGAGAGCCAAAATCTTCAACAAGTAAGTCGGTCCTCCAGCTCTGCCACTGCGGTCAGGAGCCTCCTGCTTATTACCCTAATTTCCATGTCTCTAAGCCAACTGGGTACAAATTGAGATGTAATCACGGAGTAATGAAAGGGTGGTTTCAAATCACAAATCTAGCATCGCCTTTGTAACCCGTGAATCAAGATCTAAAAATTGCAGGATTCATCCTGGGAGGTTCAAAGTCGGTGTGATTGGAGATGGTTAGCACTGCACAGCATTTGAGTTTCTGGAGATAATGACTTTTGCTGAGCCCTTCTCTGATGTCATTACACTTGTGGTTTACTTTATTGCTTAGTTTTCCAATTCTGCTTCTACAAAGCAGGGTTCTGATGAAAGCCATCAATGCTGCTGGAATTGTCCAGCCTGCTGAAGCAGTGCAATCCATGGTTTCCCTCTTGACACAAAAGTCCCCTGTCTTGTTCTGGGCAGTGGGTTTGAGTAGACTAGATTAGCCTGTGTGTCACTGAGGAAGCTTCATGGAGGCCAAGATCCTTGGGCGATTCTGTGGTGTCAGAGGGCATCCTGAGTGATCCTGTTGCCATGTCAAGAAAGAAGATCATGGGCTGAGGAGATGGCTCAGTGGGTCAGATGCTTGCTGCTCAAGCAGAAGTGTCTGAGTTCAAATCCCCAGAACACATGCAAACCCAGACACAGTAGTGTACATCTGTAATCCCAGAGCTCATGTAGTGTGATGAGAAAGAGAAACAGGACAATCCCCCCACAGCTTGCGCACACACACACACACACACACACACACACACACACACACACAAAGGTTTCTCAAAGAACGTGGAAGGGGAAGTCCAATACCTCTGACATTGGCACAGATGTGCTCACATGTTCTCTCTCTCTCTCTCTCTCTCTCTCTCTCTCTCTCTCTCTCTCTTTCTTCCCCCTCCTCTCTCTCTCTCTCTCTCACACACACACAATTTGCAGAGAAAGGAAAATATGATTGCTTAGGTTCCTTCCCAAGGTCTTGGTGTCCTAAGGTTTTAGCTCCTCTCCTGCCTCATTTCCACTAATGTCACCCTATTGCTGGCTTCCCTTCAATGGGGACTCCCCAGAAGATTCTGAAATGGTGCCCATATTGCTGGTCATCATATTTATAATGCCTCTGCAATATTCTGACTGTACCTATGCTTTGCAGAGTTCGTATGAGTTGCTGAGGTTAGAGGATTCTGAGAAAGCCTTGGAATGAGAAGCTGTTCTGCTTCTCATAGCCTAGCAGTTTCTGTCTCCCTTATTGGGAAATGGAAAGCACATGATCCCTGGAAAACCTTGGGTCTCATGCCCTCAGGACTGTCCACATATGGCCTGTCAGCGACTCTAGGGCATATCTTGAGTGGACAACCTCTATCTTCTTTTTCCTGCCTGGTCTGCCTCACCATGGCTCAGAAAAGTAGAGGTTTCTGGAAACAGAAGACCTACTTATTCATGCCCTAAGTACCTGGGTGCAAAACATAAAAATAGAAAGATAAGACACACCATGTCCAGAACTGAGTATATCAACCAAAGATAAGGCCTCAAGGAATCAAAGCCCATAATAAGAAAATGCAGCTGTTCCACCTTAATCCATCTTTGCTGAGCATGACTCCCAGGGAAAGACATCAGGAGAATGCTGCTTTGGACTATCATCCACTCTCTCCAAGCCTTTTACATTATTGGGGTTCAGGAACTATAAATACAGTGCAGAGCATTTAGCTTTAAATGCACAACCATTTGGACATTGCTATGTCACATGACCTCAAAGGAGCTCCATGCTCAGAACCCAGCTTTGTTCTGGAAGAGAAAGGGTTCGTGAATTGCTTTTGCATTTTTTTGATTTGCTTAATTTTTTGTTTGTTTGTTTGTGGTTTGTGACATGGACTTTCTTTGTAGCCCTGCTGTCCTGGAACTCATGATATATATCACCCTGGCCTCAAAGGCACAGAAATCCTCCTGTCTCTGCCTGGAGAGTGCTAGGATTAAAGGTATAGGCACAGTGTTTATGGAAGTATTTGCAAGAGATCCCCTCTTTCAATGGCATAGTGTGTGTGGGGGGGTCATTGAATGGGCTAATCCAACTCTTTTTCCCTTGTGAAATCTATTACTACCTAAGATGGACCAAAATATCACAAAACAATACTATCCCCATTTCAACAGACACTTGGCTTTTGAGGTGCCAAACTAGAGATGAGATTTTGAGGGAAGCTAAGAAGAATTAAATGTGATGTGACAAGTCCCATATTACATTGTGGTCTAATCAGAAGGTATGATTCTGTACTGTAGAATATGATCAATTCAATCCTCATGCTAATTCTTTTCCAGAAGATTCAAATTGTTCCAAGTAAGTTCATTTTAAGGATTAGAGGGGGACCCAGGGAAACAAACCTCATAAGCAGTAGCCCTGTGCCACCTTTGAGTTGGCAAAGCTAATTAGATACATTAATGAGGCATTGTCCTTGGGAGCATAGTAAAGCTAAATACAGGCAGAATGCTCCATCAGCCTTATGTCTAATAAAGCTCATTCCCAGTAGTCTAATCAGCTCCTACCTATTTTGGATTTTTGTTTGTTTGTTTGTTTTTCCATTAAGACAGAAGTGCCCCATCATACCTACAAGCCCAACTCTTGGTTATCTTTCCTTTCTTTCTCTCTTGTCCTAAGCATCCACACTTTGGCACTCTCGCCACAGACACTGTATCCTCCAGAACCTCTGACCAAGTAACAAGGAGTGTGACATGGAATGTTCTTGATTGCTCTCCCCAAGTCCTTCAACCTGTGTCATAGTCACTAACACAGAGCTTGGGTGCTTTGTAAAATGTTGCTGTTATGTCAGGCAGTGGTGGCACATATCTCTCTAGTCCCAGCAAATGGGAAGCAGAGGAAGGTGGATCTCTGTGAGGTTGATGCCAGCCTGGTCTACAAAGCTACACAGAGAAACCCTATCGCAGAAAGAAAAAAAGGAAGGAAGGAAGGAAGGAAGGAAAGAAAGGAAAGAAGGAAGAAAGCAAGAAAGAAAGAAAAAAAGAAAAAGAAAGAGTAAAAAAGGTTGCCAAACTTGTAGCCCATGGACCTTCAGAGAACAAGATATACAGATCACAGCACTCCATCTTCAAGAACTCTTCCTCCTCCCCTAGAACTCCATTCTAGGTTTGCTTCTGCCCCTCCAGCCTGGTTCCTTGTCTGGTTTAGACATCTACACCCACACATCACATGTCAGAGCCCCTCCAATCTCAGTCGTAATAGTCTTGTTTTATACTCCTCTTAGGAAAGCATTTTCCAGATAATAGATCCAAACTATTTACTGGGCCAGATACTAAGGAGATGTAGCATTGCTTATGTTCCCCGAGTTCATCTGCCATAAGAGTGTGCACAAGGAAGTCACAATCGGTCATCCAGCTGTTATAGAGGTGGCAAGTCTGAAATCAAGATGGTGATGGCATAGGTTATTCTGCTACTGGAGAGGTTCTGTTAACTTCCACTGGCTGTCCTCGGTCCTCAGCATTCCCTGGCCTGTGTGTAACTCCACTCTCTGCTCATCTCCAGATTGGGTTCTTTTCTTGTCTTCCTGTGTGTCTGTGACTCTTAGTGTGCCCTCCTTATAGGAATGGCACTTCTTACATTTAGGGCCCATTCTCCTCCAGTGTGGCTTCATCAAAACTAGGTTACATTGTACAGTTCCTATTTCCAAGTAAGGTCTCACCGACAGGAATCATGTGTATAAGATATGCAGATTGGAGGCTGTCTATCCTGCCATGATGTATGTCTCCTGAGACTCTTGTTGGAGTTCTCAATAAGTGATGACTAAATGACTCAATCTAAAATCCCTTGCAACCACAAGAGAGATGCTGTGGTTAAGGCAAGCCCTTTAAATTTCAGCATCTCCTCACTGGAGTGTTGGCTGGGACAGAGTACCATACACCCTACTCTCACCATTCAGAACAGCCCCAATGCAAGCATCAAGAGTTGTTTCCCTATGCAGTGAAACAAAGTGAGGATCAGAGGGCCCAGGTAGTTTGCCCAGCTGTACTTAGATTTGGGTTCTAGTTGGCCTTATCCCTTATGAGGGCTGAATGTAGTGGGTGTAATTGTCTCTCCTTGGGTTAAAGATGCAGGAGTCCAAGTGCTGGCATAAGTCTGGATGTAGGATCTCAGAACTTCCTGGACTAGGGAAGAGCTCCCTCTCCAGCCAACTTTCCTACGCTCACTTGGTGGGTGGACACACAGGAGTGAAGTCACTCCAGCTCTTTGTCATCTCAGTCCTGGGTTCCTTGTTGGAAGAGTGGCATGGCACTGTAAGAATGATATGAGATGGGAGCACTTTGGAAGATGTGACACCTGGACTCAGGAGTGTGTGCAGTGCAGGGAGCAATCTGAGGTCTTGGACTCTCTTCTCTCTTTGCCCTGTAACCGGAGCCAAGTCATCCAGCGTTTGCCTCCAGGCTTGGGCCAGCTCCCTGACTCTGCACTGTGAGAGAGCCACTTAAACATGATGCCAGCAGTTGCCCCCAGCTCCGAGGTCTGCCTCCAGGAAAGGAGCTTCAACCAGGCACTCTGAATTATCATCATTTTTCTCTTCCAAGAGAAGAAGGTAGAAGTATTCCCCGCAAGCCCTCTTGAGGTCTGGTGACAGCTGCTGCTCTGCTTGGGAATTACTAGGAAGCTTGTATAGATTCATCAGATCTGCCTTCTTATTAAATGCAAAGGAAGGATCAAGCCCACTGTCAGGGAACTCCAGTCCTGTTCTCCACCCTGCGGCTGGCTCCTTCTTGTCTGGGTTTCCAGGCATCTTGTCTTATTTGACTCTTCAACTGTAGTTTCAGCTCCTTGGGCTGTAGGCCTGGCTCTCATGAGAATCACCTGGTCTGCTCATTGCCAGTCCCCTGGTTCTCAAATACTTTCATGCCAAATCATCACCAGAGTCAAGAAAGCAGTAGCAAGAAGGGAAACACGTGGCCCTCGCCGTTCTTCTGCAAAGGAGAGGCATTGCACTGACTAGCAGGCACAGAACTCTTAATTTCCACAACAGCTGAGAGAGGCAGGTCACCACTAGGAGCCAAAAATGTTAAACCTGCTGCTAGCAAAATAAATCCCAGGGTTCCTGTAAACTATTAGAATTGTAATCAATAAGAGACCTGAGAGAAAGAGTTGAATCAAGGACAGAGAATCAAGAAGCAGAGGCACCCATGAAGACTACTGTTAAACATTCTTGTGTTTTGAGAAGAAACCCTCCCCATAGCCTGATTGCAAGATGTTCAAAGCCAGAGTTACTGATACCACTTTTGGTACCACTGGCATCATAAGTGTGTTGAGAGTATGAACACATGACCATAGGGGGCTAGAGAGCTGAGGGTGTTTGCGTTCTGCAGCTCCTGCCACAACGCTGTGTGCCCCAGTCTTGTAGTCTGAGGCCTTGTAGCTGAAAGTGGAAGAAGAGTCAGGGCTGGGTCTGAATGTGCTTCCTCTCCCTCTGATAAATGCCAGAAGATGCCAAGTTGCCAGGTTGCCATGATGCCAACTGCACCTTGCCTGGACCCAGGTGGCTGTGGCTTCTGAGAAACCTCAAAATGATAAACAACTTGTTCCAGAACCCTTGAGCAATTTGACGGGAGAGTCAATCGTGGAAGGGTGTGTCCCTGTCTCTCTTGGCCAGACTCATAGGATTTGCTGGTGGTATGTCTTCTCTGGCTGGATCAGGCCTCCCGTTGCTGTGGAAGTGAGTCCGCTTGACAGCGAATCCACAGATTTTCTGAGAGTACCTGTCCTTTTTCACTGGCTTGCTGGACTGGATCTAGAGGTCCCACCTTAGCCAAAAAGGAAGTGCAGCCCTCCCAGTACTATTGCTCCACCCATACCTGGGTGTCCTATACACCATGGCTGGGAGCCAGGAAAGGACATACATCATACATATACATATACATTAGTTAACATACAAAGTAATGGATTTGTGACTATATATATTATATATATATATAGTCATCACACTTTGTTCTTATCCACCCTCAATGCCCTTCCTCAAGACCCCTCCTTTGATTTCCTCCCTACTCCCAATTAAGTCACCTTTTTATTTTCTATAACATTACCCACTCTTCTTTCCCCCCCTTTAGATCTCATCCCCTCTCATATCCCACTTTCTATGTTCTTTATATATGTATATAACATGAAGAGTTTGTATACTTACATATGTGTACACCAGATCACTCAGAGAGAAAGCATGTGTATGTAGTTTGGATTATATTCTTTTCCTCCGGTGCTTAAATGAACATGCCACCATAACCCTCCTGCTGTGAGTGACAGACAGGTGCTTAGGGCACCAGAGACTTTAATAAGGTGGCAGCCAGCTGGGAGTTGTTGATTTAGCAGCCAGGATACTTGCCTGAAGAGCCAGGACACCATCATCTGTGATCAGCTTTCCTTGGTGCCTCAGCTGCCACAAGGACGAACGGAGCAAGCGCGACGATACAGCTGCTCGGCTGCAAATGCTGTATGATAATTTCGCAAATTATTATTTTTAATATAATCAGCTTTTTCCTTAGGCACTAAAAGAAAAAGTTAAATTGCTCACAAACTAATAAAGGTTTATCTTCTGAAGCATCAAATTCTGTTTACTCATGAAACACACACCTCCTCTCTTGGCCCACCGGGAGGAAAATTAGCATTTATTTTCCCAGATAAACAAAAACTGGTGGAATGTTTGTTGACATATTTGGGTGTTGAGCTTTTGCTTACATTTAAAATGATAAAGAAGAACGAGGAAAATTTGGAAGCAGCCTTCCCCAACTCTAGGGTTTCATTTTCCTGTGGGGAGGCTGCTGCTTCTGTGAATAGGATGCTCTTGGGTACCTAGATGTGCTAACAGCAGCGTGCATGGGAAACACATTCCCTTAGGCCCAGGAGCCATGTGACTGAAGAGCACAAGATGTTCTTCACAGCTTCTCCATTCTCCCCTAGGAGTGCACTGTGTGCTGTCATCTGGGATGAGCCTGACTCCTACCTGGATCTCTCCCTGAAATCCTGCTGGTGGCAGACATAGTTGGAAATCTGACACCATGTTTATCTGACCACATGGTGGAAGCCTGGAGATTGACTTCTAGAGACTCAGTAGACTGACATGGCACCTTTCTTGCCCTGGTTTCTAGGTACGGAGACATGAGGAGGCAGATTGGCTTCGAGATCAGAGACATGTGGTACAACCTGGGTGAGTAGTTAGACATCATCTTGGGGATGGAGTGATCACCTTGAATTCCCTCTGTGTTGTGACATTGGCACATTTCCCAATGTTGATATTGTGTGTGTGTGTGTGTGCGCGCGCGCGCACATGAGTGTGTGCATGTGGAAGTCATAGTTCAGCCTTTGTCCCTTAGGACTATCCACCGTATTTGAGAGCAGGATCTCTCATTCACTTCTAATTTGCCAAGTCGGCTAGGTGCCTGCTATCAGGTCCCAGGGGCCACGTATCTGCACCTCCCCAGCACTGGGGTTACAAGCATGAGTCACCTTGCCCAGATTTGTTTTATATGGTTCTGGTTTTGAATTCAGGTCCTCCTCATGGTTGCATGGCAGGTACTTTACCAACTAAACCATCCCCTCCAGCCCCTTTGGGATATCCCAAAGACCTTAATTCCTTCCCTTCCTGGGATAGCAATCACTGTTCCTTGCCCAGTTCCATTTTCAGTAAAGAAAACAGATTAAAGGGGGAGAAAAGCGTCTCCCTGTGGCAAATAAGGAAATCAAGAAAGCGCACTCTGGTATCAGGTAGACTCGTAGCTTGGATTGCTATTGCTCCTAAGTGCTGCTCTGCTTTGGTTTGTATTCACTGGAGGTCATTTACCAGACTGTGACATTTGCCATAACTCATGTGTTCAGTTGTACCGAATCTACCTTCTAAAAGTTTTATTCACGTACTCAAATTCTGCATGTGCTTGCCCGGCCACCAGGTGGTGGCAGCATGGTGTGTTGGTGTGAGCAAAGCAATGGGAGATCTGTTTAATGATAATATGAAGTAAGCATAACTTTATCCAGGAATTAATTTATTAACATGATGTTCCCAGTACATAATAGAGAGTAAGGAATTCTCTATTAAAATCTTAACCAAGGACCAGCAAGATGACTCTGTGGCTCAAGGAACTTCCCGATGTGCCCAATGACCTGAATTTGATCCTAAGACTCATGTGGTTGAACAAGAGAACCAACCCCTGAAAGTTTTCCTCTGCCTATGCTATGCTGCACATGCATACATACATACATACACACACACACACACACACACACACACACACACACACACACAAATGGGGGCTGGAGAGATGACTCGGTAGTTAAGAACATAGGCTAATCTTTCAAAGGACCTAGTTTTGATTCCCAGCACCCACATGATGGCTCACAACTGTCTATAACTCCAATCCCAGGGATCAAACACCCTCTTCCTTCCCCCTCGGGCGCTGCATGCATGTGGTACACAGATATGAATGCAAGCAAAACATTCATATACATAAAAACAAAATATTAAAAATATATAAAATGCTAAAATTATTTTTTAAACCTATAGGACATGTTTTTCTCATAGATAAGTTTCTTAAAGAAATGAGTGACCGAAAAGAACTTGACATCTGTCTTTAATGTTTCTACTGGGAGCACAATCAGATTTTGTATAAAAGTGTCCCAGACCACGGATCCGTTGCCTGGGTATGGATATCATCAAGGATCAGCGTAGTACCTGGAAAGCTAGAAAGACAAGAGTGAAGCATGGTTTTTGATGGAAGTTTGGTACTAGACTCCATCACACACCTGGACACCCTGTGACAGGCAGGAGTAGACTTTGCAGGGCTGCACCTTTAACTATGATAGCAGGATCAAAGTGACTCCCTGTCTTAAAGTTTTAGTACTGACCCTGACCTTTGTACCTTTATTTTTAAAGTTTTATCGTAATATCTCAATTACATAATAATGGATTTATTGTTTTATACATGTACATGTTTTTTGAAAATATTCACTCCCACTACCTTCTCTTTTTCCCTCTTACTTCCATTAATACCCTTTTGCCCCGTCCTCCCCTCCCCACACACACACACACACACACACACACACGTGCGCGCTTTTATGCCCTTTTTAAAAATCTTTTTTTTGGGTTACTCAACGAGTTTCTCTAAGGCTCTTACAGAAACATGAGTGACAGTTATTTCCAGGAGCACATGCACCTTGCCCATAGCTGTCTCACTGGAGATGTCTCTCCTTCCTCCAGTAGCCAAACTCCATGTTCATTTTAGAGTATTGTCAGTGGGATGGCTGAAGCTCCAGAGGTTGACCTTGAACTTGGCCCCTTTCTTTCCATGTCACTTGCCATGACAGCCATGAAGGAAGGAAAGATGGGCTTTGGGAAGAGTGAGGGTCTCCATAGAGCCTCCTCAGGGGCCTGCACTCTCAGACTTTCCTATTCTGTCCCAGGGTGGTGAACTCTCTTGACATCATCAGTCATTATGTTCTAATAAGATGAGCCCAGCAATCGAGACTTTTGATTTGCCATGCCAAGAATGAAGCTGAGGAGTGGTGCCCCAACCCCTCTCCCCCAGATTGCTTGAGCATGTGGCTGATGCCTGAGTGTTTCACAGCTTGCTCGTCAACAGCAAACATTAGCTTTGGCATGAGAACAACCAGAAAATCGAAAGGAAGCCGTGACCTTGACCAATTAAAGAACAAGGATTTGTGATCTACGAGAAAAGACAACTGCTAGGGTTGGATTCAAGCTAGGAAAATACCTGAGAATTTTCTGGAATTTCATTTGCTTTTGTTTTTGTTTTGACAAATAATAAATCCTTTGCTCTTCCTTGGATCTCCCACAAGCACGCTCTTAAGAATGGTTTTGTGGGGTCATCTTAGCCAGCAAGGACCCTTCCTGCCATGGTTCCCCAGTGTTCAGGCCTGCCTGCCTGCCAATGGCACTGTGCAGGCTGCTGCTCTCCAAACTCATTGCAGCCCATCATGATTTCCCAGGATGTGCACAACCTATTTTCCACCCAGAGCTTCCTGTTTTTTTTTTTTTTTTTTTTTTTTTTCCAATGGGCTCAGGATTGGGAATATGTTGGCAGGCACATACAGCCAGTTCTGCCAAGAAAATAAAAATAGAAGTCGGATCAGATGTGTTCCTCACCTTAGAATTAGTCACCTGTCACTCCACCACTGCACCGGATGCCTTCCCTCCGCCCGCCCTTCCAGTGTGTGTGTGGTCTTGGGAGAGGGGTGTCTCACACAAAGTGCTCCAGCAGCCCTGCCAGCTGAAACAGGGCAACAGGTCTTTTCTTCCCAGAACTCAACATGTAAAAGAGAAAGTCAAAACCATACTCTTCCAAAAGAAAAGTAGGGGAAAACTGTGTTCATTTACCCACCTTTTCTGTCATTTATGAGAGCTGCTTGGAGGAGGCCTCTGGGGCCACCTGGTCTCCCTCTTACCTTGGTTCCACCTTCTCCTTTTGTTTATTACATCCAGCTCTCAGGAACTGGCACATGCTCCCTGACCCGATCTGGCTGGAGCAAAAGTGCTCACAGAGAGACCTTGTTTGCCCCTTATTTGGCATGGGCTATTTTTCATGTAGGGGATCCACCTTCACTGGCAGAAAGTGGTAGGAGGTTCTGTCCTGTGATCCTTGTGTGTGCACAGATTTCCTACAATTTCCCTGTGCAGTGGCTAGGTTTCTGAACATCGGCTGCGGAAGGTCCTGAGAAAGGCCTGGCTTCTAGAGAAAGCCAGGTGTCACTTTCAGAGGAGTAAACACTACATCCTGTCACTAGAATAGAAACTCCAGGCAGGTCTTAGGGGTAGAGAATACAACTAGGAGATTGAAGGTAGATTGTTTGCCTTGCTCCATGGGTGTAAGAGCCTCAAGCACTTTTCTGTTGCTGTCACAAAACAACAATGCCCAAAAAAGCAACATGTGGAAGAAGCAATCCATGTCACCTAAGGTTCCAGAGAGACAGTCCATGATGGTAGAGGAGGTGTGACAGCAGGCTCCTGGAACAGGAAGCCGAGAGATTGTATTTACAACAACCCCAGGAAGCAGAGAAAGCAAAATGGAAGTGGATCAAAGCTGCAAACTCTTAAAGCCTGCCCCCAGTGACATACTTCATCCAGCAAGGCTGCATTTCCTAAAGGTTCCATAATCCTCCCAGACAGAGCCATTGACCAGAAACCAAGTGTTCAAATACCTGAGCTATGGGAACATTGCTCATGCAAACCATCACAATCTTCCTGCTCTTCCTTTCTCTCCAAAGGGGGGAAAAAACTGCAGGGGTTCCCTTGACTGTCATTGACCCCCATCCAGATCCATCGTTAGACTTCAGCTTGATGTACATCACGGGAAACCCAAAATGTGGATGTCCAAAATAATTAAATAAACAAACAAATAACAACCGTCAGAAATCCCTACCCGCCTTACTAACTCGGTGTCTATGGACTTGTGACAGCTCTGTCCCCAGGGGTGTCACTTCTCAGAGGTGTGGGGCTACTCCAGCCCAGTGTGTTTTCTGTACCAAAAGAGAGGGTGATGATGCATGGGTATAAAGCCCTTGTTTCTTTGTACCTTAGTTTTCCAGTGGCTGCTCCTATAGCTACTTGTTCTGCCTTGTATGATCTTCCCAGCTAGGAACAATAAAAGCTGCGAGTGACAGCTAGAACTTTATGACACTGAAATTATGGTTGATGAACAACTTGCTGTCATGATCTCCTGTTTTCTGAAGCATTGGCTCTGACATCTTTTAGGCATAATACAAGGGAAATGTCACCTGAGGAATTGAATATAATGGCACTTTCAGGGGACCACTTTGCAGCACTTGCATGCCTTTCCAGAGTGTTAAGCATTAAGGGAAACGGGCAGAATCACACCATTGGAGCTTCAGACAAGACACTAACTATTGAGCCAAAGCTGGAAATTTGGATTCTAATTAAATTCAGGTTCCTTATCAGGGATCACATTTTGTACCTGTGTCCATTCCATAAAAACATCTTTTGGTTTATGAGAATGGTCTGCTCTCTTATGTGTGGTTATTTATAATAGACACATTTGCTTAATGACTCTCCTGACAGAAATCTGCATTTGTGGAGCTATAAAGAAAAGCAAATTCCGTATTGTGTCTCCCGATTGTGTCAAAGTATTAATAAGATTAATTAACTCCAGATCAGCTGGCTGGTGTTAATAAGAAAATGTCACAAATAATTCACTCAGGCGTGTCATTTCTCATGCACCCTCCTGTTATGTGCTCGAATTAGACAATGCTAGTTACAGTGCAGGGGCCTGAAGATAAAGGAAGCTTTCTGAAATGAAAGATGAGAGACCACTGCCTGGGAGCACCACTCCTGCCTCATCGTGTCCCTCAGCAAGCTGATGTATTAGTCAGGAACAGAACTGATAGGACAACTGGGCACATGTGCATGCGCATGCGTATTGCGTGGTCTGAGTAGTCCCACTTGGCTGTTCCGTGATATAAAAAGGCCAAGACTCCCATAATTGTTCACTCCATGAAACTGGATGTCTCAGCAGCCCCAGTCCTGTGCTGGCATCCCAGGGAGGGCCTAGAGAGCTGCTGGTCTCCAGTCTATGTTGGAATCCCAAAGAAGTAGGTTCTAACAATAGCAGGAATGCCTCGTCAACGTAATAGATGAACTTGCCAGCAAGAGTGTGGGCAGGCAGGCCAAAAGCAAATGCTCCCTTCTTCCCTGACACTAGAAGATGTGGCCCAGCTTTATGTGGGTCTTGCCACCTCGAATCATCTAATCAAGAAAAACCCCTCACAGGTGTGCCCAGCTGCTTGAGTTGATTCCAGATATTGTTGGCTGACCACAGAGATTAACTACCACAGCCAGCCTGCCTCCTGGAAGCCTCACCAGCAGGGGTCTGAGCCAGAGCTTGCCACTGCTTTCTCCCTTTGCCTGGCTCTCATCAAACCCCATGTATCTATGCCATTCCCCAAGTGTCCTGAATTCAGTGACAACACAGTCAGAGGGGCCTGGAGCTCACCAAGTAGGCTTGAGTGGCCCATGAACCTTACCTCCCCAGTGCAGGGAATGCAAGTATATTCACCACACCTTTGCTGTTCATTAGTTTAGGTTCGGAGGCTCAAACTCAGGTCTTCTTGTTGGCAAGGCAGGCCCTTCATCTCCTTAGCCCAACAAAACATAAATAAATGCATCTTTATCAAGCAGCAGCCCAGGGTGGTTAGACCCTACTGTTTCTGCAGGTGTCACATCCAAGGCGGGGCTCTGTGTGCTTGCACTGCCGCCATTCACAGTGCTTCATAAGTTGTCCTGTATTTCACGAGGTGCCAAATGGACCACACCTCTCCGCACCATCTTGGAGACAGAAGGGCCCTAAGAGACCATCTGCACTCTCTGTGTCACCTCCCATGCATGTCAGATGCTGGCTGTCCCAGCCCCAGTCCCCTGCTCTGTCTGACCAAGTAGCAGATGATGATCATGTCCTAGACTTAGGTGCTACAGTTGACTTCTTGTGAAACTAGCCTCTCTGGTCAATATCTAGGGAGATCTTGTCTCAAAAACAAACACCGAAACAACTGCTCTAAAAGAATACAAAAGTACCACTAAATATCACTAAACACACTGAGTAAAACATACCTATGGGTGACAAGTTTTTTTTATTATTATTGTATATGTGTGCATAATATGGGGGGGCATGCCATGTCACATGAGTGGAGATGGGAGGATAACCCTGTAGGGTCAGCTCTCTCCTTCTACCTTTACGCGGGTTCTGGGATCATACTTGGGTCATTAGGCTGGGTGGCAAACCTATTGTGCCATCTTGCTGAGCTGAGACACAATGAGAGGGTGGTGTGTTGTTGCTTGCTCATGATTTCCACACATTTCAACCTTCTCAACTCCACTTTATAGATGTTGAGATTAGACCATCCCTGTCCTTCTGTAATAGACTTAATGGGAATGGATTTTTAAGTAGCTCTCTTGTAGCAGCAGGAATTCTATTTACTTTTGTCTTTGTGTTTTGCATGTATCTATGGGCATGGTGTGCTCATGTGTGTAGAAACCATAGTTTCACTTAGACTGTCATCTCTTTGTGACCTCTATTATCTGAGGTAGGGTCTCTCGCTGACCTCAGAGTTTGCTGTGTCAGCTCTCTAGCTCTCCATCCTGCCCCAGGGATCTAGTCTCTGCCTCCTGTACATTGTCATGCCTCCCCCAGCTTTTATGTGGACACTGAGGTGCTGAAGTGCTTTACCTACTGAGCCATCACCTCAGCTTTCAGTGCATACATGACTTGAGGTGTTCAAACTCCTTACAAGCAAGATTGGGTTTGCAACCATGGAAATACCCATTCAAAATCACAGAGTCTGTGTTGCTGTGCTTTGTGATCTGTGTTCTTAAACCTCTTTTGAAAAGCCACCCCTTCTTTTTAAAATAAGAGATGTCACATTTCTTTATTGAAAGGTCAACACAAGATAAAATTCATCCCAGAAATGGTCGGCCCAATATTGGAAATGACATTGATCCCTGAAACAGAGCTTCGGAAAGCCACCATCCCCATCTTCTTTGACATGATGCAGTGTGAGTTCCACTCCACCCGGAGCTTCCAAATGGTAAGGCTGTAAATGTGCAAAGAGTGTGAAGACTGGAGGGACAGACAGAAAAACTGGAAGGCATTCACAGATGATTCTAAAGCTAAAAGTGACTCACACAAAAACAGTCTCCACAGCGCACAGTAAAGGCTGTGACCATCGTTACTGAAGAATCTGTTGTCCTCTGTCTTCCTCTTTGGGGAAGATGGTCCTTGGTTTCTAGTTGTCCCTTACTGGTGTTTATATGGACTTTACATTAAATCCTACATTAAAGTCCCTTGAGGCTGGAAAGAGGGCTTACTGGGTTTAGAACATTTTCTGTGCAAGCATGAAAACCTAACTTTGAATATCTAGAACTATTGCTTTAAAAAAAAAAAAAAAAAAAAAAAAAAAAAGCCTTGCCCAGCATTTTGATACATACTAGAGCTGAGCAGGAGACAGATGGATTGTAGAAACTTGATGGCTGGCCAGCCTAACCAAAAAGGTGAGCTTTAGGGACAGTGAGATGTTCTGTCTCAGGGAGTAAGGTGGAGACTGAGAACAGGACACTCAATATCCCCCTTTGGCCTCTGCAGGTGGGCTGTGCACTCCTGGCCCCTGCAGGTGGGCTGTGCACTCCTGGCCCCTGCAGGTGGGCTGTGCACTCCTGGCCCCTGCAGGTGGGCTGTGCACTCCTGGCCCCTGCAGGTGGGCTGTGCACTCCTGGCCCCTGCAGGTGGGCTGTGCACTCCTGGTCTTTGCAGTTGGGCTGTGCACTCCTGGTCTTTGCAGGTGGGCTGTGCACTCCCACACATAAATGCCCATTCACATACACACAATATATATCACAATATGCATATATATACATATATGTATATACATAATATATGTGGTGTGTGTATATAATTTTTAAATCTAATTTTAATGGATATGTAACACCTCAGGAACCATTTACTCTCCCCCTCCCAGGCTGCTCAGTTTCCACTACCAATAAGTATACTGTACACCTGCTTATTCACATAGCTTGAATCATATTGAATGTTTCCCCAGTATACATACTCAGGAATGCAATTTTGGAATCAAAATGCTTTTGTACCATTTGACATTATTATTGCCAAATTGTTTGATATTATTGCTAAAGCTTTGACCTGCCTCCACCACTGCTGCCTCTAAAGCCTGGTTCCAGTGTCACTCCAGGCTTGTTGAAACTATAAATTATAATCTAAAATACTTTTCCCGGGCATAAAATTCATCTGACTTTTTGAATTTCATATAACCAAGCACAAAGAACGACAGGTGAAAACTGCTATTAAATAAATTAATAAATAACAACCCTCTGGTAAAGGGAGAAAAAAGTATTTATATAGATAAATGTCACAAGTCCAGAAAACTAAAATTAAACTCCTTTAAAACCATTTGTACCATTTCTCAATTTTTAAACATAGTCTTTGGGTCAAAACAAAGGTCAAGGGTTGCTGAAATGAAGATAAATGGGAGGTGGGTTTCTGCACTTCCTCCCTCCTTGTGGTCTTTTTGTCCAGTTGCTGTAATGTGGAGGTTTCTAAATATCCAGCAGTCTTCTAAGGAGCCGCTCCAATTGTTCTGATTTGCAGGAAAATGAAAAAAGTTAATGAGAGCCACAGATGCAGGGGCTCCAGTGCAAACATTGTCCTCGTTTTGGGCATTCAGACTGTCATTTTTTTTTACAGGAAACTAAACTTCCTGAGTACTGAATGCCACAGAGAAGTGATGCTCCCCGAATCCCAGCCATTGTTCTATAAGCATTTCACCAACTTAAAACACACCTTGCTTTGATGTAGGCAAATAAAACACAGCCACAAACAAGCAGATCACAAAAGAGATGTATCAGGCCAATCATGGCCTCATACTCCAGCATCTTGCAGAAAACTCTATGGCTGTTTCCCATTTGTGTTGAGACACAGGGTTGCATGATTTGACAACTCTTAAAGTGGAGCAAACTAAAAGACAAAAATCGAAAAGTGTGTTGAAGCAATCTCACAGTCATGAGCTTTCCCTCCTCACCAGAACAAACACAGGAGGTAATCCATTGATAAAGAGAAAGGACTCGTGTTGGATCGACGTTTGAGAGGGTTTTGCTCATGATCAACTGTCCTGCTTGTTTGAGGTCTTGAGTAAGGCAGTTCATCATAATGAGACCAGAGAGTAGTGGAACAAAGCCACTCACCCCAGGGCCAAGAAGAGAAAAAGAGAGAAGCCACGATAGCCCTCAAAGATGCACCTTCTTGGCCTAGACACCTCCCACACTAAAAGGTTTCCCAGAGACCAAGTGCCTGTCACATGGATTTTGAGGGCACTCTAGAGGTGTAAACTGTAGCAGGTCTCTTCTGTGTCATTCTGTCCATGTGGGTTGGATAAAGATTAGCTACCTCAGCCTCCCAGGAAGATTCCATTCCCAAAACCTTCTCTATCACTCATTTTTCTGTTGGTGTCCTGGTCACTTGGTTTTCTAGTGTAAGTTAGTTACAGTGGCCTTTGCTTGCCCTCTCTGCCTCGTAATCACAGTCATTTGAGAATACTCACCATTCCTTGCCCTTCCTCATCTCTAAACCTTCATCCTCTCCACCCCTGCTCCCCCACACCAGGGCCCCCATGAACCACAGAACTTGTCTGTTGACTTTCTCTAATCTTCTAGCACCTTCCTGCTTTCAGTATGACTAGCCCTTATCAGCCTGTTTTCTTAAAGCAGAAGGCATGGCCCCTATTGCCTATAGATCCATCCTGACTGGATGCACACTTAGCCCCCAGGACACAGCTGGCTCAGCCTGCCTCTCCATCCACCATGAGTGCTGGGATGGGGATGGTTGGCTGCTGTTTAACTAATTCACCACAAATGCAATTATCTAACCTGATTAGTCACATCAGTGAGGGCTTAAATTGCCTCCACTTTTATAGCAGATGCACAAACCTAATGGAGTGAGGGGAAGGCATTAGGGTTTTTTGTTTTTAGGCAGCTTGAGTGTTTTGGTCACAGGACACAGCATCTTCTAGAGATTGTGCTTTCATAGCAGAGAGGAAGTTGATATGCTGATGTTCGCAAAATATGCATTGTGGCCAGGTTGTATTGTTGACTTGTAATTGGAGTTTGGAGGTGACCTACTGGGTTCAGGGGGCATCCTCCATTTGACTCAAGATTAAATTATATCTAACCATGACTGGAGTTTTAGAAGCCTGTACTGCTGCAAATTGGCTTTCCCAGAGTTGCCTGGAGTGGTTGCCCTTGTACTCCTCAGCCACAGTGGTAGTATTTTATTAGCATATTCTTTCCAATCCAGTTCCTGGAAGAGCAGAAAACTTCATTCAGGATCCCTGTGCCCTTGTCCTGGGCAGCCTCTCCAAGGTTCTTCTATTGGCTGGGCTCATACAGTGCTATGATGGGGGTACCCATTCAGGAACTATGACTTCCTATAGCCTGTGACTTTTCTAGGGCTATATTGGTTTCTTCAATTCTGGACAGATTAGTGTATGAGCCATCAGTTCCGTGAAGTTCTTTATGCCTGGGTATATGGCTCAGTTGGTAGAGAGCTTACCTGGCATGTGCAAAGCCATACCTTTGGTCCCTAGCACTGAATAAACCAGGCATGATGGTACATGTTTACATGTTTAATCCCAGCACTAGAGGTGGAAGCAGGAGGATCAAAATTTCAAGGTCATCCTCAGCTGCCTAGCAAGTTTGAAGCTAGTCTTGGATGCATGAGACCCTGGCTCAAAAATGTCTAGAAAAAGCAAAACAATAATAACAGGAAAGCCTGTGGACACAGGGTCCCTCATGCTAGTAAAAGTCACCTGTTTATGGGCAAGTTGTGCAAGGACTAGATGCACCATGAGGAGTCTTAGACTAGGCAGAAGCATGTGAAACCTGAGGCAGCCTAGGGTTCTTTCCGAAATCCCTCCTTCTGTAGACATATACATCCTTAGGGGCCAGTAGAGCAGAACTGCAGCACAGTGGAAGGAGGACATGGTTGGTTAGATGCCCTCCCCCATGCCCCAATCCCCACTCTCACTGTGCCTCCCTACCCAATACTGTCTTTGCATGTGCTTTTTCCTCCTTGATTGTGAGTGCTCCTTGTTACAAGCTTTTCTCACCAGCCTGGTTCCAGAGCTGTGCCAGCCCCAAATAACACACAGAGGCCTTGTATTAGATATAAAGCTGTTTGGGCTGTTATTAGTGTTTCGTATTGGCTAGCTCTGTCTTAAATATTAACCCATTTCTATCAATCTAAGTATTTCCACGTGGTCTTATCTTAACGAAGAGAGAGGGTTCGGACCAATGCTCTCTTGGTCCTACATGTTGACTCTCCTCCTACCTCCCTGAATCCTGCTTGTTGCTCCTTTGGCAAGACTTTATTAAAAAATACCCGACCTATTACAGAATGATGTCTCCCTTCCTCCTAGTGGTAGGGCCACGACAGTCTCCACCGGGTTTTTCATGTTACTGGGGATCCACCAACCCTGAGAAACATGCCATTTACAGAATGATGTCTACCTCTGTCTTTTCTCTGCCCTCTCCACATGAGTCTTCCCTCAGCGAAGCCCATTTCTTTCTTTCTCTACCTCTTTCATCTCTGACTGCTTCTAAAACTGTAGCTTTTTGGTTCTTTTCGTCTAAGACCTTTTCACAATCTGTTGTCCTACCCATTCACCTAAATTATAACTTCCTGTTGGCTTCCCTCTAGAAATTCTCTGACCACTCTCATTATAACTTACCTAACTCACCCCTCTGTCTGATTCCACTTTCCACACCATCCTAAAGTAGTATGGGAGTGGTGAGGTTCAAGTCTTCTTGTCCCATTTGTCACCCACATCCATATACCTGGCATTGGTTAAGGGATGATGAACCATCATCACTTGGCCTAACACTGACTTTTCTACTATATTCTTGATAGCCTTCCAGATGCATAACCCTCAGAATCTCAGCCTCATGCTGCATTTTACTTCCAAAACATAAAAGTGAAAGAAGAAGGGAAAAAAAAAAAAAAACACTTTAAATTCTCTCCTGACAT